GCCCGATGCGGGACTCGATCCCAGGACTCCAGGATCATGACCTGAGCCGAAGGCAGTCGCTTAACCAACTGAGCCACCCAGGCGCCCTTTTTTTTTTTTTTTTTAAAGTATCTCCATGCCCAGCACGGACCCCAGCCTGTGGGGCTTGAACTCAACAACCCTGAGATCAAGACCTGAGCTGAGATCAAGAATCACGTGCTTAACTGACTGAGCCGCCCAGGTGCCCCATGTCCATTTTAAAATCAGATTATTTGTTTTTTTGGTGTTGAATTGTGTAAGTTCTTTATATATTTTAGATATTAACCCCTTATCGGATATATTATTTTTCGAATATCTTTTCACATTCAGTAGATTGCCTTTTCATTTTGTTGATGGTTTCCATCACTATGCAAAAGATTTTTTATTTTGGTGTAGTCCCAATAGTTTTATTTTTGCTTTTGTTTCCATTTTACCTAGAAAAATGTTAACAACAGCTGATGTCAAAGAAATTACTGCCTATGTTTTCTTCTAGGAGTTTTATGGTTTGATGTCTCACATATAAATCTTGATTCCATTTTGATTTTATTTTTGTGTTTTGTATAAACAGGTGGTCTAGTTTCCCAGACCTGTCCAGTTTTCCCAGCACCATTTATTGAAGAGACTTTCATTTTCTCATTGTATATTCTTGCCTCTTTTGTCATAGATTAATTGACCATATAAGTATGTGTTTATTTCTGGGCTGTTTATTCTGTTCCATTGATTTATATGTCTGTTTTTATGACAGTATTATGCTGTATTGATTACTGTAGCTTTGTAGTAAATCTTGAAATCTGGGAGTTCCAGCTTTGTTGTTCTTTCTCAAGATTGCTTTGACTATTGGGGGGGTGTCTTTTGTGGTTCCATGCAAATTTTAATATTGTTTGTTGTAGTTCTTTGAAAAATGATGTTGGTATTTTAGTAGGAGTTGCATTGAATCTATAGATTCCTTTGGGTTTCAACTATTCTTTAATCATGCATTTTATTGACAAAAATTCTGCATGGCAAATACTAGGTCAGTTTGTTTTAAAGAACATGGCGCTTCTGACACCAGTTGTGTGGGTTTTTCCCCTTTATCAGTTAATTTTTCAACTCTCTGGACACCACTTGGATGTCCTACAGTTCAATTCAATTCTGATACTAAGTACCTGGAATTAGTGCAGACCTCACAGGTCTGGTCCTGGACCTCTGGTACTTCTGACCAATTGGCTGTAAATCTAGGGTTCCTATGACCCCTCTATGGGTTCAATAATTTGCTAGAATGGCTCACAGAACTCAGGAAGACACTTTAATTACTATTACCAGTTTATTTTATTTTATTTATTTATTTTTTTTTTAAAAAGATTTTATTTATTTATTTGACAGAGAGAGACACAGTGAGAGAGGGAACACAAGCAGGGGGAGTGGGAGAGGGAGAAGCAGACTTCCCGCAGAGCAGGGAGCCCGATGTGGGGCTCGATCCCAGGACCCTGGGATCATGACCTGAGCCGAAGGCAGATGCTTAACGGCTGAGCCACCCAGGTGCCCCATTACCAGTTTATTTTAAAGACTACAACTCAATAACAGCCAAATGGAAAGAGAGGCTAACGGTGGCGGCAAACAAGGGATGTGGATGGGCAGGGAGGGAGACGGTATGCAGAACTTCGATGCCATCTCTGGGTGCTCCACCCTTCTAGCACCTTGATGTGTTCACCAACCTGGAAGCTCTCCAAACCCCGTGGTTTAAGGGTTTTTAATGGAAGTTCCATTATGTAGGCATGGTTGATTAAATAATTGGCTATTGATTGGCTATTGGTGATTAACTCAGTTTCAGGCCCCTTACCCCTTCCTGGAGACAGGGGAGAGATGCTGAATATTTCAATCCTCTAATCACATCTTTTCCTCTGATTGGTAGGCTTACATTCTGAAGCTTTGTAAAGGTCCACCAGAAGTCACCTCATTAGCATATGAATTAAAGGGGCTTATTAGATGAATAACAAAAGATGCTCCTTTCACCTACATCACTAAGGATTTTTAGAAGCTCTTGTATCAGGAACCTGGAAGAAGACCAAATATGTATTTCTTCTTATATCACAATATCACCCTAGGCACTCAAAAAATTGTCAAATGAATGAATTCATGTGATTGTTGTTGCTGTCCCTTTCTTATGTGTAGCTTTTTTTCTTTTTTTTTGATCATTTTAATACTCATTTCTGAGTGTAAAAAATGTCTTTTGTGGTCTTCTATATATTTTACTTTTTAAAAATTGAACATATAATGTAAATTTGAGACATACATGTTAATTTGATACATTTATTTATTGTAATATGATTGCCATTCCATTTCTGAACTTTCACTTAAGAGAATGTCCATCTTTCAAATCAAAATGTGTGTAAGTTTTACAGAGGATGAAGGAAATTCTGTAATTACACAAAATTCTTATCACATTATTGGGGCTTTTGAAGGGGAGGACCTTTATCTTCTTTGGCCTTGATAAGGACTGCAAAGAGAAAGAATATTCAGTGTGTGAGCCAGTGATACATGTACTTTAGAATAGATACAGTGTATTTTTGGCTGAGTGCAATAACAAGATGTGTAAGAGGAAGAAGAGGGAGAAACTTAACATCATTTCACTAAGGTTTACCAAAGCCTTATTTGGAGATGGAGACAAGATTTGTTAAAGGTGATATCAGCCTCAAATTCCTCAACAACTAAAACATCTAACGTTGGCTTTATCATTTTCTCCTAGGTGATTTACTGTTCTTTTGGTGGAACATCCAAAGGACTGCACTTCAATAACTTAATAGTTGGACTTGTCCTTCTTACAAGAGGCAGAGATGAAGAGAAAGCAAAATGTAAGTACTTTTATTATCTGAAAATGATAATACTACATTTGCGTGCAGAATAATTTACCTGAAAATTCTTTTTTTTTTTTTAAGATTTTATTTATTTGACAGAGACAGCAAGAGAGGGAACACAAGCAGGGGGAGTGGGAGAGGGAGAAGCAGGCCTCCCGCTGAGCAGGGAGCCTGATGCAGGGCTCAATCCCAGGACCCTAGATCATGACCTGAGCCGAAGGCAGGCGCTTAATGACTGAGTCATCCAGGCGCCCCTTACCTGAAAATTCTTGATGACAGTCAAAGCATTTGAGTTAATATTTCTCCAAAGAAAATATACAAGTGGCCAATAAGCACTTGAAAAAACGCTCAACATGATCAGGTATTAGGGAAATATACATTAAAATTAGAGTGAGATACCACGGCATATCTACCAGGATGGCTGAAATAAAAAAGACAGATTAGGATTGGTGAGGATGGAAAAGTTGCAAACCTTATACATTGCTGCTGGGAGTGTAAAATAGTACTGTCACTTTTGGAAAACTGTTAGATAGTTCTTCAAATTGTTCTTTTTTTTTTTTTTTAAGATTTTATTTATTTATTTGACAGAGAGAGACACAGCGAGAGAGGGAACACAAGCAGGGGGAGTGTGAGAGGGAGAAACAGGCCTCCCGCTGAGCAAGGAGCCTGATGCGGGGCTCTATCCCAGGACCCTGGGATCATGACCTGAGCCGAAGGCAGACACTTAATGACTGAGCCACCCAGGCGCCCCAGTTCTTCAAATTGTTAAATATTGAGTTATCATATGACCTGGCAATTCCACTCCTATGTATATATCCCAGAAAATTAAAAACATGTGTTCATTAAAAAAATATGCATGAGTATTCATAGAAGCACTGTGCATAATAGTCACAAGATGGAAACAACCCTAGTGTCCATCAATTTATGCGTTCAACATAAACAAAATGTGTATGTCCATATAATAAATTACTGCTTGACAATAAAAAGGAATAAAGTACAAATAAATGCTGCAACATGATAACCTGAAAATATTATGTTGGAAGTCATAAATGCCAGTCAAAGTAGGCCACATAGTATGTAATTCCATTTATATGAAATGTCTGGATTAAGCAAATCCTTAGGCACAGTAGATTAGTGATTGTTAGAGGCTGGTGGAGGAGAGGAAAAATGGAGAACAACTGCTAATAAAGGTGGGTTTCTTTTTGGGATGAAAGTTTTATTGAAAATTTCCCAGGGGAGGGGCGCCTGAGTGGCTCAGTGAGTTAAACTTCTGCTTTCAGCTCAGGTCATGATCACGGGGTTCTGGGATCGAGTCCTGCATCGGGCTCCCTGCTCAGCAGGGAGCCTGCTTCTCCCTCTGCCCTTCCCCGGGCTTGTGCTGTCTCCTCTTTCGCTCACTCTGTCTTTCAAATAAATAAATAAAATCCTTAAAAAAGAAAAAAAAAGAGGAAAATTTCCCAGGGGAAGTAAAGGCAAGTGTTTCTGTTACATAGGATATATATCACTTTGCTCCAAAAATTCCTAGGTTTTTGTCCTTGGCCACTGGATGTTGGGTCTTTCTCTCTTCCTTCTTCCTTTTCTAACCTGCCTTCTGACTGCTTCCCCTAAATCTCTCAGAATCTTCTTTCTTACCCCTGAATTTAGACTGTTTTTTTTAATCTTTTTCCTTTTTTATAGTTTTATTGAGGTGTAATTGACTTAAAATGCACATATAAAAAGTGTAGATTTTGATATGTTTCGACACATATGTGTACCCACATTATCACAGTTAAGATATTGAATGTATCCTTAAACCCAATAGGAATTTCACTGTGATCCTGGTTTTTCAAATTAGAATCCCTCTACCAACAAATAGTGTGGCTCCAGGCAGCCAGTAATTAAAAATAATATTTTGGGAGGGTCACAAACATAAACGTATATTTAAATGTTTTTTTTTTTTTAAGATTTTATTTATTTGAGAGAGAGAAAAAGAGCACAGAAGCAGTGGGGAGAGGGAGAAGGAGAAGCAGGCTCCCCTTTGAGTAGAGAGCCCAGTGCGGGGCTTGATCCCAGGACCCCAGGATCATGCCCTGAGCTGAAGGCAGATGCTTAACTGACTGAGCTACACACCCAGGCGCCCCTCTTTATTTTTATTATACTGTTGTATTAGTTTTCTAGGGCTGCCCTAACAAAGTACTGCAGACTTTCATAAGTGGCATAAAACAACAGAAACTGTCTTACAGTTCTGGAAACTAGAAGTCCAAATTGAAGATGTTGGCAGGGCCCTGCTCCCTCTGAAACCTATAGAGAAGAATGCCTCCTTCATAACTTCTGGTGGTGTTGTCCTTGATGTTCCTTGGCTTGTAGCTCCATCACTCCAATTTCCGACTGTGTTTTGTCTTCTCTTCTTATAATCAGTCATATTGGGTTAGAGCCCACCCTGATGACCTCATCTTAACTCGATTACATTTGCGAAGACCCTGTTCCAAATAGGGTCATATTTGTGGATACTGGGGTTAGGACTTTACCATCTTTGGTGGGGAACACAGTTCAGCCCATAACAGGTGGTCAAAGCATTCCAGCAAATACTCCCTCTGAGGAAATCCATTATGGGATGGAGGAAGGCAGGCAGGGGAACCTGCTGGGCCTTCAGAGGGATGGAATGTCTCTTCTATCTTTCTGTCTTCTATCTTTCCAAATAAGGTCCCATTCACAAGTACCTGATGGTTGGGTTTCAACATATCTTTTTGGGAGATGCAGTTCAATCCATAACAGCAATATTTCAAACATACATATAATATGTACATCCACCCAGCTTTATTATTTCTTAACATTATATCGTATTTGTTGTGGATCTTATTTTTTAGGAAATAAAATAATACAGCCAAGGTGTGGCGCTCTCTCTCTGTATCTCTTCATGGTTCTGTCCCCATTCTTCCCTTCACAGAGGTAACCACTCTCATGAATATAGTGATCTTTCGTTCCTCATGTAGGTCTTTATACATTTATGATGTTTTATATACCCTTAAACATATCTTCACCTGTTTTGCAGATTTTAAACTTTTTAAGTAAATGGTATATGGTACAGATTATTTTGCAATTTGCTTTTTCCCTGAATATTTTTGGTACTTATCCATCTTGAAACACTTAGTTCCTTTATTCTAACTGCTATATAGTATTTCATTGTGTGTGTATCTCAGTTTACCTATTTTCTTATTGATAGACATTTATCTTTTTTTCCCCTAAGTTTTGCTATTACTAATAATACCCAGTAAACATTGTTGTATCTCATGCATATGTATGAAATTTCCTCGAGGGTGGAAGTTGAGTTGCTTAGAATCTGAATTTCTAGCATATATCACCTTTGCTAGATTTGGCCAAGTTACTCTCTAAAGTGGTTGCAATAATTCATACTCTTTTTTTTTTTTTTAAGATTTTATTTATTTATTTGTCAGAGAAGAGAGAGAGAGAGAGAGAGCAAGTACAAGCAGGGGAAGCTGCAGGCAGAGGGAGAAGCAGGCTCCCCGCTGAGCAAGGAGCCCAATGTGGGACTCGATCCCAGAACACCAGGATCATGACCTGAGCTGAAGGCAGCCACTTAACCGACTGAGCCACCCAGGCACCCCAATAATTCATACTCTTATTAACAGTGTATAATAGTTCCTGTTTCTCCCAATTTATTGCTGACACTTTGTGTTGTCACACCTAAACATTTTTGCAAATTTGGTGTGTTTGAAAAGCTATCCCATTGCTGTTTTAATTTGTATTGCTGGTTTTCATTTTCTTTCTTTCTTTTTTTTTTTGGAATAAATTAAATTATATATTTATAAAGTGTTTGGCACTAGTAATCACTCAGTAATATTTACCTCTCTCTTCCTTCCCTACTTCTACCAAGGTATATTTAATCTATGGTAAGTTTAATTTATTCTTTCTTTCTCCTAGACATTTTTAGTCTTTTTGCAAGTGAATCTGGGAGTTATGTTGTACGGGAAGAAATGGAAAGAATGCTCCATGTGGTGGATGGTAAAGTCCCAGATACACTCAGGAAGTGTTTCTCAGAGGTATATTTAAAGATTTACATTTCATCCCTACCTATTACAAAGTATTAACTCTTAGATGTTTATGTGCAGCATATTCTTGACATTTTTGTTTTTAATGGTTGATGTTTCAACTATTTATGTGCTGTGCTTAAAGGTCCATAACACTTATTACTGCTATATTTGTGAATCTGAAAATTCCCAATTCTACTTAAAAGGCAAGTGTCTGTACTTATGGTATAATGAAACACACTCTCACATTCTTACACCAACACACACTGGTGATCCTGCAGGAAGCTGAGCATAGCTCACATTGTAGTTTCATTGCTTTTCTTTGTATAAATGGCCTTGAGTCATTCTGTGACTCTGGGACCCATCAAGGCTTATTTTATCATTTATTTGACTTAGCTGATTTGCATAGTGAAATATTTAGGTCTGAAAAATCTGTCATTTTTTTCTGTTTTCATAAATAATAATTTTCATTGTAGAAAACTTAAACAATAAAAAAATGCATATCTTTAACAGAGAAAACTCTTTTTTTTCTTCCTTTTCATAGGTCTGCTAATATGGGAAAAGTCCCTAGAGATGGTAGAGTAAAAACCCTTTTAGAATTTTCTGATCCTTTCCTGCAGTGAACTCAGTGCTACATGATTTCTTACACGTGGCTGTTTGACCTACTTGCATTTCACAGATATGACAGTTCCTTACTGCTCATAGTTTTATTCAGTTTAGTTTAGTCACCTTCCTAACTGTATAGGGACTGATGGTCTGTACTCCAGCCATATGCATATATTTGGTTCTAACGTCTCTTTGGACCCTCTAGCTTTTCATTATTCTGTCTTTGAGTTTCTTCTGTGTTGATAGCACCTGGGGATTTCCCTTTCTTGCTTTGAGCTTGCCTGTATGGTTTTTGGTAGTGGTTATGGTGTTACATTTTACTCAGCATTTCTGTGTGTTTGGTACAAAAGGATTGGCTTCCTGCATTTTGCTTCTGACACATTGACTGGAAGTTGCTGTGATAGTATTTCAGTACTTCAAGACAAACTAAGCTATGGTTTTTCTCTCCAGTAACAAATATTGTCTGGTCAAAAAAAGTCATCTAATCTTTGCAGGCCTGATTAATTGGATTTTTCACAGAGATGTCAAATGCATTAATACTCTGCACATATTGGGGGAGAATGTATATTTTTCTTATTTTAATGAGTTTTATGCACACATTCCCATTTTATAGATGGGAATTAAATGTTTCTAGTTTCTCTAAACCCAGTTCTCTGAAGTTCTCTAAAGTTTATGCACAATAGCAGGTACATGTATTAGACGATAATTAGTGCTATAGGGGAAAATTTAAGTAAATTAAGGGGGATAGTTAGTGATAGGGAGGATGTGGGTGAGTGTAGGTAATTTTGTGTAGGATAGTTGGGAAAGGCTTGTCAGATAAAGTGATATTTGAACCAAGAATTTAAAGGAAGAGAGCTATAACCATGTAGATATCTAGGGGAAAGCATTTTTCAAGAAGAGAATACAGCAAAGGCCCTGCTTGACATGTCCAAGCAACAAGTAACCTGGAATAGAATAAGAGAGTGGTAGGAAATGAAGTTACAGAGGTTGGGGAAGAGGGTGGGATAAAGTGGGGGAGATTATATATGGCTCTGGAGGACAGTGTGAGTTCTTTGACTTTTACCAAGTGAGGTAAATCATTGGAACGTTTTGGGCAGAGGAATGAATAGATGAGGGGTTTTTTTGTTTGTTTTTAAGATTATTTGAGAGCGAGAGCACGGAGGGGAGGGGCAGTGGGAGAGGGAGAAAGAGAATCTCAGGCTCCGCTGAATGCAGAGTCCGCCGGGCTCAATCTCATGACCCCAAGATCATGACCTGAGCCAAAACCAAGAGTCAGACACCTAACTGACTGAGCCACCCAGGCGCCCCAACATAAGTTTTTTTTTTTGAACATGATCAGTTTGGCTCTTCTGTAGAGGGTAGGCTAAACAGAGTCCAACTGAGCTGTCTGTGAATAATCCAGGTGAGAGGTGATAGTCATGTAGATCATGGTGTAGCAGTGAGATGGTGAGAAGTTTTCAGATTCTGCATTTATTTTGAAGAGAGAATTGACAGGAATTTTTCTTGTATTGATTATGGGGTATGGCAGAGAGAGAAGAGGATGACTAAGGTGTTTGGCTTGATTTAGTAAGTGAATGGAGTTTCCTTTAATTACGATGGCTAAGACTATTAGCGGTTCAAGTTTGGGGTTTTGATATCAAGGGAGATTTAGGACATAATTAAATTTGAGAATCATTTTAGACATTAAAGTGGAGATGTCAACTATGCTTTTTGATATATAATTTAGAGTTCATGGGATAGGATTTGTTGGCTTATAGTTGAGGATGAGATCATCTTAGAGTGAATTTAGATAGAAAACAGATTGGAAGACTGAGTCCTGTATTCCAATGTTTAGAGATTAATGAGATGAAGAAGAATCAAAACAGGAGCCTAAGGAATAACCTGTAAGGAGAACCAGAAGAGAATGGTGTCCTGGAAGCCAAGTGATGAAAGTGTTTTAAAAGAAAGGAGTACTTACATCAAATAAACTGAAAGGTCAAGTGGGTTGACCTTTGATCATTGAGAAGTGATTATTAGATTTGGCAATGTAGAGGAAGGTCATTGGTGTAGGTCCTGTGGAGTTAAAAAAAAAAAATCACTGGAGTTAGGATACTAAAAGAAGTTTGCTCATAAGAGGAAATTGTAAGGGGGAAAGTGGAATGTTAAAATTGCATTTAATGGAAAGGGAACAGTTATTATAATGAAAAGATCATAAGACTGTTAGTAAGGCTGCGGTTAAGTGTTATATGAAGGACAAGATCTTTGGAAGAGGAAAGATCAAAGAAATGAGAGGCCCTGGTTTTGGAATGCTCATGAAGAAGCTATTTAAATCACTAGATGCTTGTGGTTGGTAAAAAAACCAACACTGTAAATGGGCTAATTTTTTATCTGATTCAACTACTTGATGTATTTACCTGCTGTAATTTCTGAGTAATGTGTCTGATTATGTCCAAACTCTTGCTTTTCAAGTTAACCATGTTTCAGTATGAATCTACTTGTATTAGAATAGACTTATTTAGACCTCCCAAAGCAGTGCTTTATGTTGTTTTGGGGCAATCCAAAAAAAACCCCAAGACTATAAAGAGAAGCACTTTAGCTAAAAGATGTGGACCTAGCACCTAGATTTAGTGACATGGAATGGGTTTCAGCTTTTTCTGTCTTGTGCTTTTATTAGTCTTGATGAAGTTATAAAGGAATCCACGTAGGAGTTGTATTATTCTTTTCTTACTGAATATTTTCTTTGGTTGTCAATTTTTAAGGTGGAAATTCATATTTTGTATTGTTCTTTAAAGATATAACAGTTTCAGGAGCCTGTTCATTTTTAATTGCCCTATGTTTCTGGAATTTTTTTTCCTAAACTGCTATTGTGACAATTTATAAAAGGAAACTTTCTGTTTGCTGCCTTTTTTAGAATACATCCATGACTCAAAAACATAAAAAGTCAGGTTTAACAGATGGAATTTTGGTGTTACCAGTATTGCAGTGATCTGAATGGACAGATAGATTTCAGAGCTTACTTTATATTTCACTGAGTCAGCCAACAAGTGTGGTGTATAGCTTAGGCTTAGAAAATTTGGACTACCTGGGTTCAGTCATATCCCTGTCACTGTATAACCTTAGATTATTTAACTTTTTAATGCCTCAATTTTCTCTTGTGTGAAATAGAGATGATAATAGTATCTCCTACAGAGGGTTACTTTGAAGATTAGGGGTGCCTGGCTGGCTCATTTGGGGGGAGCTTGTGACTCTTGATCTCAGGATTGTGAGTTTGAGCCCCATGTTGGGTATAGAGATTACTTAGAAATAAAATCTTAAAAAAAATTTTTTTTTAATAATATTAACTATATGGGAAGGTGGTAGAAGTGTCTATTTTAACTGGCAGCTTCTTTCTTTCTTAGTACATCAGAGTGCATTTTATAGCAACAACATCTTAGCTTCTCTGAAACCATTGATGCTACATGTTTCGTGTATCTAAGATCCCATCAATTGTAAGATGTACCTGTATGTGTTACAAAGAAAGAAAAAACCTGCCAGTTATAATTGAAGGATGCTATTGATTTTAAAACTCATCCCAATGTTAGAGATGTTAACATGTGTAAAAATGTGTGTGAGCTTGTGAGATATATACAGCTAATCGTCTTTCTAGACTAAATGTGGGAAACAGAGAAAGAATATGGGTATGATCCCTAATCTCTACACATGCTGGCAATATCCTCACATGTCCCTGCGGCAACTCTGAATGCCACATTCTTCCATTCAGAAAAACAAGACTGTCAATGTTGTTTTGATGTTTTGAATTATACTGTTAAGTCTTCTGAAACTACTAGGCTAAGTATATTGCTGTACTTAACAGGATGCTGCCAAACAATATAGAAATTATTTCTACCATATATCTCTTTTAGGTTATGAGTTATTTGTATTCCTTAATATTTCTATCAGGATTAGACCTAATAGGCTCCTGAATGTCTTTCTTCATTGTATTTCCAAGTGGGTTGCTTCTGTCTTTTTTTCATAGAAACATCTGGCCCTCATTCACCCTAGGTCCTCTTGTCTTCCAGACAAAGAAATTGACTTGCACAGCTAAGTGATGTTCTTTCTCCGCTCAGATACTTTTTTTATCCAGAGATTTAGAAAACAAAATATTTGACAAGAAAGCAAAGAAATAGAAATGTACTTGTTTCTTTTTGTATTCTAGTTGACTTATGAATACATGTATTCAGTGATGCCTTCTGGAAGAGGGCCCTAGGATAGTTGTTTTTAATTTGCCCATGAAATTTAGAAGAGTATTTTAATGCCACACATATTTAATTAAAATATGCTAATTATGACAGATTAGTAAAAAATTGGCCTTCTTAAATATAGAAAAAAATGCAGTTACTGATTTCAGGATGTACCTTAGTAAATAAAATGTGGCTTATTAGTAACAATGCACTGCTTTAATGAATTGATGAAATAATTTACAACTAGCATATAGATTCTATGGAACTGGAAGTTCTTAAATACAGTTATTTTTGAAAGCAGTTTGATTTCCAGGTATACAGCCCGTAGTGTTATTTAGATAATCCTAAATGTCAACCAAAGGTAAATGTCAACAAATCGCAAATTTCAGGTTGTGCAAGTTCTAAGTAAGATACCTTAAAATTTGACTAAACCTATCGTTTTTTTTCTTTTAATTTTAGGGTGAAAAGGTAAACTATGAAAAGTTTAGAAATTGGCTTCTTCTAAACAAAGATGCTTTTACCTTCTCTCGTTGGCTACTATCTGGAGGTGTTTATGTGACCCTCACTGATGACAGTGATACTCCCACTTTCTACCAAACTCTAGCTGGAGTCACACATTGTAAGTAATGGCATTTCATTGTTTTCTATTCATTTTTTAATACAGTTGCCTGGTAATATGAGAATATAGCTATTAAGGAGAAATTTATTGTCAGTGGTTTTTTTCTTCCAAAGTGTAATAAAATAAAATACTCTGGAGCACTTGGTACATAGCTGAAAAGGAAAACTCTTGTTTTTTCTCTACTCACCAAATATTTTTGTACTTCACATGTGTGGGGTTTTTCCCCACACAAAGCAATTCCCCAATGCTCTGTATATACCAAATGGCTGTTCTGTACTTCAGTTCAGTTCTCACACACTATCTACCTGGGGGTTAGCATAGATCCCACAGGTTTAGGGCTCAGTCCCATAAGACTATCCACCTGCTGCCCGCATCAGAGGCCAATCACAAATCCCAGTTATCACCAGTGCTTCTGATCAACCAGCTCTAAATTAGATGATCCCCCTCCTTGGGTTTGATAATTTGGGAGAAGAACTCATAAAACTCAGGGAAACAGTTTATATTTACTGACTTAATATATAATAAAGGGTATGTTAAAACACAGATGAAAAGCCAGATGAAGAGATACATAGGGCAAGTCTGGAAGGGTCCCAAGCACAGGAGCTGGGATGCACCAATCCTTCTGGCATGTGGATATGTTTATCCATCCAGAAGCTCTCCAAAGCCCATACTTTTGGGATTTTTATGGAGGCCTCATCATATATAGGTATGATCAATTATTAACTGAATTTCCAATCTCTAGCAAATGGGGAGTAGGGCTGAAAGTTCCACGTTTCTAATTATGGCTTGGTCTTTCTGGTGACCAGCCCCCATCCAGAAGCCCAACAAGAGTCACCTCAAGCATTAGAACAAGACTGCTATCACACAGGAAATTACAAGGGATTTAGGACTCCTTTGTCAGAAACCCTTATCACTCAGGAAGTTATAAGAGTTCGGCCAAAGACCAAATATTAGGAACTGGGGGCAGAGACACCAATTTCATACTATTTCACAATAGCCCTCTACTAATTGTCCTTAACCAAGCGGTTTGGTTTCCTAAAGTTGCTGTAACAAATGAGCACAGTTCTGGAAACTGGAATCAAGGTGTTAACACATTTCATCTGAAGGCCCTAGGAAAGAATCCTTCCTTGCCTCTCCCAGCTTCTGGCGACCCTAGGCTGTGCTTGTGGCAGTGTAGCTCCACTCTCTGCCTCCATCTTCCTGTGGCCTTCTCTGTATCTGTGTGCTCTCCTTTTCTTATAAGGATGCTAGTTATTGGATTCAGGGCCCAGCCTAAATTCAGGATGCTGAATTCATTACATCTACAAAGACCCTATTTCCAAATAAGGTCACATTCTGAGGTCCCAGGTGATCATGAAGTTTTGAGGGATAGCATTGAACCCACCACTGTATAGGCCTTAAGTGTTAATTTCTACTGTTCTTTCCTGTGGGTACAGAAAAGTACCTGCACGGGGCTTTTGCTAATGCTACTTCTTAACACTGGAATGCCTTTCCCTTTCCTTCTCCCTGTAAATCTTGGTCATCTTTGAAGACTTAAATCACATGCCCCTTTGTTTCCATGAAACCTTTTCTTGCCTTCCTGTGAGAAATCATCTCATTCCTCTGAACTGTCATAACACCTTTATGTACACTTCTTGGATGAGCTTACCATTTTCCATCTTTTATTGTAATTATTTATAGCATTCTATTTATGTGTACATGTCATTTCTCTCTTTTTTAGAGAGAGAGAGACCATGCGATTGGCGGGGGGGCGCCGAGGGAGAAGGAGAGAGAGAATGCCAGGCAGACTCCATGCCCGGTGTGGAGCCTGTGTACCTGTCATCTCTCTTAAATCTTAGAGTCTATATTCTTTCCTTTTTCTCCCTCTATGCCAAGCCTTAAAAATAAATGTTTGTTGACTGAATAGAGTACCTTGGGTGTCACGTACTGTTGCTTTATGGAACTATGACTGGCTATTAATTATACAGCAGCTACTTTTCTGCCCATTTTCATTCCATTCTTACCAGAAATTCCAATAAATTCTGGCATGAATAGGCAATGAACTTGATTCTACTACTTTTCAGTGCCCTTGTCTTTATTTTTGATAGGAAGCCTCTTTTATTTATTTATTTTTTTTAAGATTTTATTTATTTATTTGACAGAGAGAGACACAGAGAGCAGGACCACAAGTAGGGGGAGTGGGAGAGGGAGAAACAGGCTTCCCGCAGAGCAGGGAGCCTGATGTGGGACTCGATCCCAGGACCCTGGGATCATGACCTGAGCCGAAGGCAGACGCTTAACGACTGAGCCACCCAGGCGCCCCTGGAAGCCTCTTTTAAAAAAAAAATTGTTTTCCATAAAAAATTAGGGAATCTTTTTATATTCACTGTAAGCTCTAACTTACATTAATATTTAAATTGTCATTCTTAGGGATATTTTGCTGAACTTTTGCTTTTATTTGTGATGGTATGGTAAATTATTTTTCTGTTAATATTGGCTAAGTGTGACTACTTTCCTTTAATGACTTATGTTAAAGAAAAATTTATTCTGACACTTGTTAAAATGGTAAGGAAGACTCAAATCCAAGACTTCTGCAGTAGTGTCTTGCAATAGGAGAGAGAGATTGGTCAAAACTCTCTAACAAAGACAAATGAGGAATTGTAGCTGGGGAGTGAGGCGAGGTGGTCAGTGGAGGGAAAATTACTAAGAGGAGATGTCAAAGGCAGGGGGAATTCTTGCTAAAGGCAAGCCAAGGACTTATTCATCAAAGGTGGGGTATGAGGAACTTGATCAGATATGATATCTAGGGTAGGCAGACAACTTGGCAGGATTCTTTGCTAACACTGGATTTGAGCAGACCAAAGACTGAATGGGGGCCAAGTTGGAAGCCTAGTCGAAAAGAGGGCTCAAAGAAGCAGGACTAAAGTGTGCTCAAGGAGAAAGTCTTTTATCAGTTTCTTAAAGTTAAATTAGGTCTGACATACTTTGCAAATGCAAATGCTGCTTATTGCTTATTTTGGAAAGAACTATATATTATTACAGATTACAGATTTACTTAAATTCATTCAGTCAAGATAATTTTCAAATTGTTAAAAATGTTATCCCATTATGTGATTCCATTTTTATTTGAAAATGATCTTTTCTATTCAGCTTTTTATTACTTGGGAAGATTTTTGAATTTTTAATAGTATTTGAATTTGCCTTGTTAAAAAATATTTATCTTAGGGGCACCTGGGTGGCTCAGTCGGTTAAGTGTCTGCCTTCGGCTCAGGTCATGATCCCAGGGTCCTGGGATCAAGCTCCACATCGGGCTCCCTGCTCAGCAGGGAGTCTGCTTCTCCCTCTTGCCTCTGCTGCTTCCCCTGCTTGTGCTCTCTCACTCTCTCTCTGTCAGATAAATAAATACAATCTGAAAGAAAGAAAGAAAAGAAAGAAAGAAAGAAAAAATATTTATCTTGAATTATTTAAAGCAAATATTAATGTAGAGCCATTGTTTCACCTGTAATAATGACCTTCTAATTTCTGAACTGAGTGGTTTCTTAGGGTCATTGTATCTACTCCTGTCTCTGCAGTATTTTAGCACTCTTTGACCATTCAGTTTTCATGAAATTCTCTTCTTTGGCTTTTGAAACATTGTAATTTCCTAGTTTTTTATTATTTGAGTTTTCTTTACTGCTCTCCTTTTTCTGTCTACCTTTTAAATGTAAGTTATTTCTCATGGGTTCACCTTTGGCCCTATTTTATTCCTAGATGATGTGCATGCTTTTGTTTCATTACAGCCATTTCCATTGCCTTGCCTATCCATCATATCTCTGTAGGTGATACCTTGATGAAATTTTCTGGTCTTGGGGTATCTCAAATTGTATATTCATTTTAATAAATGCCTCCTGGATATTAGTGAAAAGCAAAATTCAGTTGAGTAAATTTGAAAATCAAATTGGCTTTATTCAAATCATGAACTCAGTAGTATCCCATTTAGCAAATAGAAAGGAGCTCTGAGGAATTGTACAAAATGGAAGGCTTTCATAGGCAGAAGGGAGCGGGAGTAGTGTATGGGAGGTGGAGTTTCTAACAAAGAGTAGATTGTTAGATTGTTTCAGGCAAGGTCATCTTCCTTTGGGGTCTGTCAAGCAGATTACTTTACTAGTGCTGATCAGGTAATTCCAGATTGACTGGTTAAAGGTCACATTTCTGGGAAAGGCTGAAACTACAATTAGATTAGATATTAGGTCTTTGTTTGCTAACATGGGGCTCAGCACAAGTGACTCCATTTGGAGCCTATTGTTCTTTTTTTTTCTTTTTCTTTTTCTTCCTTTCCTTTCCTTTCCCTTCCCCTTCCCCTTCCCCTTCCCCATCCCTCCCTGAGCCAAACCCATACTGGAGCGCAGATTGAGATGGACACTTAACCGACTGAACCACCCAGGTGCCCCTATTGTTCCTTTTTTAAAACTATATATATATTCTAACATCTTAATCTCATACGTAAAATCAAATTCATGTTTCCTTGCTTTCAACCCATCTAAAGGTTCAAAAAGCAAACAGTATGTTCTTCCTCTTGTCTGTTCTATCATGGTTAATAGTATTTGTAATTCCAGTCATCCAATTTGAGATTAATTTTGACTTTTCCTTGTCAGGCTTCACATTAGATACTATCAATCTTAGCCATATTTCTTGCATCTTTCTTTACTGCCGCTGTCATTGCAGTATTTGTCCTTATTTATCTAACTATATGTTAATTCTATGAAAGAATGAAGGACAAATTTTTTGTGTTTGTTGTTTAGTTTACATTAAAAAATGTTAAACTCTTCTTTTCCCTGCTCCAAAATCTTTGAAGAGTCTTCATTTTCTGTAGAACAAAGTTTATAAAGTCCTTAGCATGGCTCTGAAGTCTCTTAGTTTCCTATTCTTAATTTTCCATATTCATTTCTCCTTACATATGTTCTCTGCTTCATCTACAGAGCACTGTTCAGTACCCCCATGAACTTTTTTAGCTACCGTATACATCACTCCTGGTAGTCCTT